CATTCCTAAAGTTGCATGGGGAGGAGGCATATCAGTCTGTTTATTTGTTCTGTTTGTTATAGCATTTACCTTTTATAAAACCAGAAGTACCAAAAGAAAATTATAATTTACAAAGTTACAACATGTGGTTTGATCTGCTCCTCCCAACAACTTGCTTCCTGTTGTACTGTTTGCAAAGTTGTAATGTTGCCCTTTACATATCAATTCCAGAAAAAGGCATTTAAGTCATTTAGAACTGGCCTGTGCATCTCTATCCAAAAGGACAATTCAGAGAGTCAAGTAGATACTAATATGAGTACAACTACCACAGCTTGACTCCTGGCTTATCAGCAAAATCACAGTGATTTTGTGACACAGTGATCTTTGCTTGAAAAATGCCTATTTGTCAAAAACAAAAAAGCAGAAAAATATTTCTTATTTGCTGAAGTGTCTCAAATTTAAATGAATTCAAGCCTACTATTTTTAAGTTATTTAGTAAAAACAAATACACAACACTCTGCAGCTATCAAAATTATTTATTTCCCACAACCACTTTTTTTGTCCTTATTACTCATCTGACAATACTGTTTCTTCATTTTAATATTTTGGATTTTTCTAGATAAGTTATTACTTTAGATTTTCTTTAGGATACCCTTTCCTCCTTTATTAGAATATTAAAATCATCAAAACTTTTACAGGTTGGAGAAGCTGTATAACTAGCAGCCAGGGTCACTGGAAGGTAGCTTAGGGAATCAGAAAGGAATACTGCTGCTGACGGTCTATTTGCTGGCAGTCATCTGTGAAACTTTCATTAATGATGTTCCTTATTCTATCTACGTTATGTCTGTGCTTTTAAGCATCTTTACTACTTTAACGATATAAGGAAAATTCCACTCCATGCAATATGCACCGACATAGAGCAGATTGCTTCAATGTGATATATGATTAGAAAAGATAAATACCAGTCTGTTCAGCTGATTTTCAGACGTGAAATAAAGCCACATCATTCTAAAATAGGGTCAAATTAATTCAAAGTGAAAAACATATGCACTATGTTTTGTTCTATTATTTTTCCCTTTATGCATCTCATAAGTGAAGGGCAGACTTTTTAATTCTATTGCTTTCAGAAGACTAATGCTAAAATTTTGCTTTTCTGTATTTATCTTTACTTATTGTAGGGTTTGTGTGATTGTTGGTTTTTATCTTAATTTGCATTACTGAAATTGTTAAACTACATTGCTATATTAAAAATACAAAAATTATGGGTAATACAGTGAAAAATCTAAATGAAATTGGCTGAACAGAATGTATATAAGAACTAAACCAACTTCATAATCAGTATGTAGGCACTTCTTCAGGAGAGATGCCAAACCTCTCAGAGAACAAAACACACAGTGGATGTACTTAGTTAGCAGAAATCAAAAGTTAAGAAAAAAATATCATCTACTCTGTAGTACTCAAAGGTTTTGTGCAGCACAGGAAAATGGGGGGACAGGAACCTTAATACATAGAATGAGTGACCGTTCCCTACTGTGAGCAAAGAGTCAAGCTTGCTATTAAAAGTTTTGCTTCCTTAGTTATGGCCATAAGAACTTATGTTAGCAAGAAATTTAAATTTAAAAACACAACACTTGTAGCTAAGGTAGCTGTTTAGGCTAAAGCCCAAAAAAAAAAATTGTGGGTTTGTTTTTTTTTTTCCCAGACAGAAAGTTTGGGAAGCTGTATAAACTACCTGGTCAAATACATGTATGCAAGTATATATATATGTATATATTAAATATATATATTTTATATACATATATAAAAGTCCTCTCTTTGCCAGTAGTAAAATACATCTTGAAGAAAAGAGGTTATGAACATACACGTCTACAGTAGCCATGCACCAAGGAATCTACAAGGATGCCTGGGATCCACAAGACAAGTACATGTGCATACTGACTATTATCCGGGATTTCCAAAGTCCAGTAATTTCTATTGCCAGTAATAAGACTTTCCAAATTTCCTTTTTCCTCTCCTCTCTCCCCTAAGCTCTGCAGGCAGGAATCCCCCTCCCTTCCTTCCCTCCATCTCTATCTCTTCCATTAGAAATGTCACTACCCCATCTGCTGCCCCTGAACTCACTTGTGCTGGCAAGGACACGCAGGCAGAATGAAGCAGCCGAAGTCATTCAGCATAATATGTTACATAGACCCTTCCAAGGCAATTGCTAGCATTTTTGCCCAAGAACAAGATCATGCAAAAGGGATTAATACTGCTATGTTTCTCTTTTGATGCCTGTAATGCAGATCAGGACACACGTCCTGCATCATCAAGTCCAACTTCTTCTTGCTGCAGGCACCACATAGTTTATTTGTATGAGTATGTGTGCTTTTTGCTAACCAAGCTGACTGGTGACTGAAGGATTGCTTATGCCTTCCAGTACATCCCTGAACACAAGATATGCTGTTGTAATACCTGAATTACATGGAATTTTCTTTCTGTGTCAATCTCAAATGATGTTACAATTTCAACCATCAAATGTACACATTATTGCGGTCAGCAGGACTTCTCTGATCGGAAATTATGTATGCTTTACTGCTTTTATCAAATGAAACTGTAATAACAGCTCAAAAAGTGTGCATTCTTATTGGAAACCACATTGTACAGGAACTGCTTCTTCTGATAATTACATATTTGGCGACAGAGGGTGAGGGGGTGAAGAAAAGCTATTTTCCCATCTGCAGCAAATCCTGACAGCTGCTTAAAAACAACAGTAATGAGGGAGACAAAAAAAGAGATATTTGCGAAAGCTTTAGATATTATTTTCAGACAAGTATGTCAAATATAAGGCCTTCTTTGATTTACTTCAGTTTGCACAGGAGGGTCTTTGCACTGCTCCCTGGAACTCCTGGCAAAACACAGAAATCTCAAGGCACGTAGGTCTCACTGAATATTTCAAGAAAGAAATACTCACAATGTTTTACTTCACAACATTCACATCATTCCAACTCTGGACAGAGGCAGAAAAAGAAGAAGAAAAAAATTAATCAAAGTTTACTAGACAATAAAGTGAAAAAAAGGGAAACATTCAGATTAGTCTTTACAGAGTCTGAGTAATTCACCTCATCCTAAATAGAGTCATCTCTGCTGTAGAGCCCTGAATATGGGCTCAGGAAAGTTTGGAGAGGAACATAAAGTGATAACTCTTGTCAACTCCGGACAACAGCAGAAGGGAGGAAGGAAAGCCTTCTCACAGCTCTGTCCTGGGAACCTGACATGCAGAGAAAAGTTCTGCCTTCAGCTCTGCCCTTCACCCTTACAATATCATGGCGATTTTAGGGTAAGCTGTTTGGGTGATCTCACGTCTTCCAAAATCTGCCTCCTCTTATCCATGGAGGAATGTGGTGCAGCAGTCACCAGCGCTGCAATAAGCGGATACTTTGATTGTACACAGGAGAAATCTTGGGACTTTTGAAAGGTCTTTGCTTTATAAAGTGTGGCTCCTGTGCTTTGCCTTGCAATCCTATCTGCTGGCATGTGCAATCATAATCCTTCAGCTGAAGATCTACACTATAAAAGTCTGCTATGAAAGATACTGAATGTTTAATGTTTATCTGTAAATGTCTCTATTTAGAGACAGAAGTTCTATTTATACTTTTACATATACTGTAAATTTTCTGTAATATCCATAAGAGTATGTGATGTGTTTGATCTTCAGGAGCTGTTAGTCTCTCCCACCTGTGGTACTTTGCTGCTTAATAAACAAAACATTTCTTCTTATATCCTGAATAATTCAGGCCTGCAAAAATTTCAGATTACTTTGTCATTAAAAATGGTTTTGATACTTCACCTGGTAGTCGCTGAATGATGTGAGATGTGTATAAAGGGACATCATAAGGTAAGATTGTTTCCTAACCAGTAACACTATTTCAAAAAGAAGAAAAGTAGGTATTGCTTATCATGTTCTCTGGCTGCTTTTTGATTGATATTTCAGATTAAGAAAAAAATTTATCACAACTCTAGTAAATTAGCTCAAATGTAAGCAGAAGCTGCTACGGCACTCCATCATGGACTACTCCTGCAACGGTCTGTGGACTGAAGGCAAGCACAGATGCTTTGCCATCACCACTTGGATGTAATCACAGCTTCTTGTCTCCAGTTAAGATGAAATTCTACTTCTATTTTTATAGACTCTTGATGATTTTGCTTTATTTAGCCAAACTAGCTATACTAAAACCAAGTTTTAAATGGAGTATCTGCATACTTGGATGTGGGGGGTTTTTTGTTGAGTTTTCTCATACCAAATTTGAAAAACATCTTTCCTTATGTGTAAAGTGAGATTAAAAGCTTCACTTCTGCTAATTTTTATGCTTGATATTTAGTGGACTGAATGAGTGTTGGTTTGTTTTGTTTTTTAATTTTTTTCAGGCACTTGGAAGCAATCTGCTACACACAGCATGAACTAGCAGCCAGCACGAAGTGCAACTTCAACAATGTCCTATCAGCTGGGGAAAAGTATCTGAACCCGCTAAGCAACCACTGGCTGGGGGCTGAGGATGAAGAGGACAGCATTCTTCCTGAGAATCAAATCTCATACTCCACCAAAGTCTTACCCAAGGTCTTGGGTGTGGAGGTGCAACAGAGAGGGCAGGTGGATACTCACTGTTGGGCTTCCCAAGGGGCAAAAGCCACAGCAAAAGCTTTAGACATGCTTTTGAGGAATAAATGAGGAACAGATCAACCTGTTGGGTGACACCATCCTCCTGCATCTGAAGGAAACAGCTCATATAGCCTCTGCCCCTTGGACTCTGAGCAAGAGCTAAAAACATTCTATGAGGTTGCAGTTCAGGGTTCTGGATGGCTAAACTCAGCTGTAGTGTATCAGTGCAACTGGAAATGTTCCACTTTGGATGTTATTCACATCAGCTAGAACCACATAACAAATTGTTACTCCTCTGTTTTAGTTTGGTATAAAAAGAGTAGAACATTAGGAAACATCCAAAGTTAATCAGAAAACAGGAGAATAAAAAACATTTCTCAAATTGATTGTACAAAAAAGTTTTATTGTTAAAAGGAAAAAACCCAACAACTTATGGCAGGGTTCCAAAATGCAATTGCTGTGTTTTAAATTGAGTACTGATGAACTTCTGATTCTTGCACTTCAAAACTTCCAAACTTCATGATTAGTTTAGCTCCGTCTGAAGAACTTGACTTTATCATAACTCAAGGCACAGCACCAAAATGCAGTCCTCAGCCTGCCATCCAGTCAGGGTTATTCTGTGGATCAATCAGAATGCCCGATACCCGGAGATTTTGTGCATGTTGGCTGAGCATCTGATTACAGTAGTTCTATAAACGAGTAAGATTATATATCATATAGTTTTCCAGACAGCACAAGATGTATTCTACCTCAGGAAATTTAGTTTGCTTATTACTTTGCAGCTTGGATTCCAGTTGCTTGCAGAAGTTACCTCAGTGTTCTTGAATTATTTGAAAAGTTTGTCGCACTCAGTAAACATCTTGTTTTACTATCATGGTGAAATTCAAGCATATGACCATATTATTCTCAGAATCATCAGAGAATCCTTGTATAATAATATTATAATTGCCCTAAATCAAGCAAGAAAAAAACAAGAAAATTAGTGCATAGTGTTGCCCACTCTTGTCTAGGTAGCTTCTTGGAATGGTTCTAATGATTTCTGTTAGGACTGAAAAAGACATTCCCATCATGTACTGTTCAGATACATGAGCATACATAAAAAAATAGTTCTCAACTTTCTTCTTATGACCAGAGTACAGAGGAACAGCAGTCTCTGGTCTAGTAGAGTCCTATGGGGAAACGTCAGGTCTGCCATAAGCACTTCATCTATTGGAGGACTGCTCATGGCAGGGGATGTTCCTCTCCACTACCAGCTCTGGGGTTACAAGAGGTGTTGGGCTGGATGGAGTCCAACACTGTTAGAGGCCCATGGGCTTTGGGACAAGGGGAGGCTGGAGATTTTGTATCAGTAGGAGCTCCTTAGTGACATTTGTAGGGATTAATAGGGACGATAAGGGTTTGGAAAGGCTCAGGCAGCTGATGGGGCAGGTGTTGTAAGAGACTGGGTCAACCTGATGACTGATGCTGCTCTTGGTTTAACACTGGAGTACTGCTTTTACTTTTGGATATTGTTATCCATTTTCAAATCTTCGAAAATGGTTTCAGGGAGCAACAGACCAGCATGTGAAGAGAATTTAAAATAAAGAACAAAATGGGCAGAAAAAATATGAATGGATTTACTCAAACAGGTAAAAGGAAACACAATTTACCAATTAAAATGGAATTATTAAGGTGACATTAACTGATTTCTAAGGTGACATTAACTGATTTCTTTGGTCTTTTCTTCTATAAAATAAGGGAGGAATAATAGAGAAATAATAACCAGAGGACATCCAGCATTTCAAGGATGCTACCATTTTAGACTCATCACTTTCAATGAGAAAGTGTTCTGACATTTGCTCTTCTGTTTTCTACAGTTTGGGTGAATGTGTCTTTTCAGAAAATATACACCTGTAAGTATGTAATTTTACTATTATTATTTCTTTATATAAAATGTCAGAAAGTACCTTTAGAAATTGTATTCTTAAACCTTTAATGTCAAATTCTTCTACAAGTGTTTCTGTAAAACAGAGATAATTATAACACAAATGGTTACTTAACCATAAAGTCATCAATCAGACTGCCTAAATAACTTCAAAGCAATATGGTATATCTCTCAGCAGCAGTTGCCAATGTCATTTACTCTTCCACTGACAAAGCACTCACCTGGTTTTCTCTCAGAGCTCTGACTATTTGTCAAAATAACGCTAGAAAATAGAAATTAACCACAGTGCTCCTCCAACATCTCCTCCAAACACATCTTACTGTGTTAAATCTGAAGAGAACTGATATAGATTATTAAAGAAAGAAAAACATAGACTGCGTATTTTCACCTCCTCACAGGTCCTTTTTGGCCTTAAGTCTGACATCCTGCCTGAATTCTCTGGATTTGAGCCTGTGCCACATTTATGCTGGGTAGCCCCTACCAGAGGATTGACTCTTCTCTATTTAAAAAAGCATTATACCTCGGTGGAGAGAATTTCTTAAAAAACCCTAAATAACCTGTGTTCTGCATATTAGTAGTGCCAGTAGTCCCTCTCAAGTTTTCTGTACAGTCCAGTCAAATGTTGTCTTTTCATGTCATTTTATAAATGTTAATAATAAGTGTCATACTGAGATGAAGGATATTAGTAATTATCATTTATGGAGATGGAAACTGCAGTACAAGGATGTTAAAACATAGACTTTGGACATTCTCTCTTTTAATGGGGTTTTGGCACTGGAGAACTGGCTGCTCTGAAGTCTGCTGTCTGCCAAGCAAGGCCTAGATTGTGGAGAGAAAAATCTGTTTGCATGGGTTGATGGCACACCGACCTCCTTTCAGCATTTCACACAATGAGTATTCATCGTCAGCTCCACTGCACAGGAGATGCTTCCAGTTAAACGCTCTTTCACCGTTGCGCCAGACATGGAAGACAATCTTCAAAAAGGTGATGTCACTTCCTAATTAAAACATTGCAAGTAAGGACATGATATCTAGCAGGGAGAAAAAACACGTATGCAGACATGCCACTTCGATAAAATATAGTTTTCTCTGAAATACAATATTTTTTAAAGATTCCCCCCAAAACTGGCAAAAATATGTATCTTGAAAACTGTTACATTCAGGAAAAAAAGAAAAGAGATAATTTTCTAAAAAAAAAATCTAAAAAATATTTGAATGACTAATTTCAAAATCTGTTTTAATTTCTTCAGCAAAGATAACAGCACAGCTAACTTAAACACATGCTCAGATGAAGGCTTTACTTTTAGGCACATGTTGCATGCCCTGAATGCATAAATGTATCTTTCTAGGGAAGAAAACCTAGTCCACCTCCAGAGTTTATATTCAGAAGGTGAAGTTTTTGATACAATCATTTCATAAACATTTCATTAACTCAGTTTGCCAGCTTAAAGTTGGGTTTAAAGATTCCAGTTGGGTTCAAACACAAATCTAGTACCATTTCCAGCCTCTGGAACACACATATTCTTCACAGAAGTTCTGCCATACTTGGATGGCCTAATGATATTCTCTCTCCTTTAGAAGACTTGGGACTTCTTCAGGCCAGAAGAGCTTGTGTGTGGCAAACCTTGTCTGCTTCTCCCAGACAAATGCACATACACCTGAACCATCTCAGATTTGCACATACAGTGCCAGACTCCGTGCAGGGCTCTAGTAACTCCTCCAACAAGTAAAACTCAAATACACTTATTTTCACAGATCATAATTTCTGTCCATCATTATCCAAGTTTATCCATTCCATTTTCAGTCACAAAAACTGATTTCCTAAATCATCTGGCATTTTGGATGAAGTGCCAGCTTTCCACTTGTACTTGATTTTCTGCATTTCCAGATTATAATTGTCTAGTTAAGAGAGACTCACTTGGAATCCAGTAAAGAGTAGCCTTCCAGACCTTTGTTTTCATGATGCTGCAAGGTGTCAAATTAAACACGAAAGTATGAGCTGTAGAATCTATAGGAAAACAATATTTCAAATTGATAGCGTGAATAGGCTTCTCCATGAAAATAATAAAAATATATGTATTTACCCACTCACAACAAACACACATTTTAAAATGCATTTAATATAAGGTATATACAATATATATGTCTTAGATAATATTAAAAATATTAGACAATATATAAAACTGTCTAATATTTGCAGTAAATACTAAACATGTATTTGAAATTTTATTATTAATTATTTATATGCTTAGAGGGTAAAACCAAAATAGTATCTCTAAGTAACAAGAAAACTCAATTTTTTTGGTTGGTGATATTTTGCACACAAAACCCAGGAAAAAATGTCTTTATTTGTCTTTTGATGATACACAAAATCTTCAGTAGCATTAAACAAGCATGGTCCTCTGCTGAAAATATCCCAACTTATGCTAACCATGGAACCTATATAAACCTGCTGACAACAGTTAAAAATGTTTTTAACGTACCAGCATATTTTCTAGGATAAGGTAAATGAACCTTTGAGTATATTTGCTCTATGAGTGACCACCTAGCATTTTTAGAATATGCAAAATATCAGCCCATGACATAGACATGGCAAGAAGGTACACACTATGCTGTCCCAAAACCCGATACCCCAGAAAAGCAGAATATCACATTCCCTCCTCTTTTACATATACTTCAACCTTTTAATTGTAATATATTTGTTAACTCAATTTGCATAATTTATACAATAGAGTAATTGTAAAATAAGTTTAAATTCATTATCTTCTAATATTTCCTGAACCAAAACATGCCTGCTTTCCTTGAGGGTAAAATTCTCTGTCTTAGCTGCTAGAACCAGCATTGTGGTAATATTTATGCCTATGAAGTATAATTCCTGTTATATGGTAATTAATAACAGAAATAGACTTCAGCTGAACTTTTTTGTATTTTTCTGTATTCATCACAGAAAGAAATTTGAAAGAAAATTTGCATTTCCTCAGTCTACAGTAATTATCATGCAAACTTAGAGAAAGAATTAGCTATATTTTACTTACCACAAAAAGTATACGACATTTCAAGATCTGATGACGTACAAAGAAATTCACCAACTCCAGAGGTGAATAAAGTGAAAAAAATAAGTCCAAACATAATCACTTTGTTTTGCTCAGTATCTAAAAGAATAAAACTCTGTTTTGAGGAAAGAGGAACAAAATTCAGCACAGTCATCCTCAGTCACATGTCTTCAGGGAAAGTTCAGTTATTTTTTCAAATTCTCTGCAATCTTAATTAATCCTACTGCAGCCCCCTCAGTTATCATCACAATAAATTTTGTGAAGAAAAAGAATTTCTGCTTTTGTTGCTATATTTTCCCCAGACAACGCAGCTCAAGCCACGGGTGAAAAGTGAAAGAGAAAACTGTGTGAAAAGGGGAACGGAAATAAAAACGCGATTACCAGAAGTATGTAAAGGGCAAGTATAGTTGAGTCATCAGGTGTAACATTTTTAAAGGCATAAATTCAAACACAGAGTTTCCTGTACCTATTAAAGAAAAGAAAAATTGATGAAAACCAAGACCACTCTTTTACCAATATGTAGTCAGTAACTCTCACAAGCTTTCATAATAATTTCTCACAAAGCTCACCGTGCTTTAAGAACACACTAGAAATTTGTAATTAGATGATATATTTCCAAATGGAGTTGAACACAACCATCTGACATGTTATTGAGTAGAACCACTGATGTCCTGCATGACGACAGCTACTACCTTCAAAGCTGTATCTATCACAGTTATTTTTCCTAGGGAGAGAAAACTTAAAAATCCATAAAATTACAACTGATAATTCCCACAACTGCCTACCAGAGTCTCTCTGCGACCTTCTCCCAGACTTCCCCACAGTCTCTGTTGGAGAAGCAGCACTGTATGGTTTGCCCAACAGCTCAGAGCCATGCAAAGGCTGGGTCGAGGTGGACCCCGAATATTAGTCAATTACTAACAAAAGCAGTCAAATTTGGATTGGGATGTTTCAAATAAGAACACAGAATCTACCTGTCAGAACTGAAGATAGGTTACAACCTGATTTTATCCTGGGATGCTGAAAACGTTCCAGGTTGCAGATTTTGATACTCAAGTTTGAGACACCGAAACAAAAACTCTTAAAGCACTTTAGATACATCCCCTTATTTCTGTCTGTTAGTGCATTACACAAAGAATAATATATTTTGCCTGTATCTGTTATATCAATTAGGTTGACCAAACTGGGTCAGCACTTACTGCACAAACTTGGCAACACTGCTAGTCCCAGCTACAGAAACAGATCAAATAAAGGCTAATACCTCATCAAGAGAGTACAATCACCATCTAACTGACAGGAAACAATTAAATTTTCTTTCTCACTATAATAAAATATAGAAACCTACTGAATTTATGGGAGAATGACTTACAGAAATTAAATTATTTCTCACAAGCTACCTTTTTGATTTGTATGTATATCTGCAGGTTCCTCTTAGATCAGGAGTTGTCTAGGGTTTTTTTTTAAAAAAGAAGCAGTATATAAAATACACAGGTATTTGAGTTTGTGTTAAGCAGGAAACTCAATAAAAATTACAACAAATATAACTTAATCAATTGTTCTGACTCTTCCCACTTCCCATCACAGTGTCTAAAAGCTTTTATTCTCACAAATTCTGCGTAACCAGAGTAATATTTTACATATTAAAAACATAAAATAGTAAAATATTAGGAAATTGGTTTTCAGAAGTCTGAGCATGTAACACAAAAGATAATTTCAGAATAATGACACGCACAAAACTATGAATGATTGCACCCAGAAGATGGGCAGAGTTCCCAGACTAGTTAAGGAAGGTGAGAATTCAATTACAAGTGCCTGAAAGCAGCAACTAATGAGTTCATACATGTAATAATTCACAAAATAAAAAATTGAAAAATTAATGTGGCTAGAGAATTCTCCTCAGTATTTCCAAATCTTTCTATAGACCACAAGAAGAATCCCAGTAGCCTGACAGAGTTCAAAATTAAAAGGAACTTATAGCATTCAGCTTTTAAGTAGAAATTCAAAATTATACAACTTTCCTGACAGATCTCCAGAGTACATACTTCACATGCAGATTTTTGTTGTTTAACAGGATACTATAAAACATATTAATCCTTTGTGATCATAGCAATAACACAGGTTTTTTTTCAAGATGGCCAAATCTTGCTTAAAAATAGTAAAATATGCAGTGAAGTTGAAATAAATCAGGAAGGCTGTAATAGCTGGAAAAAAGAAATGGAGTAGTGAGACAGCCACAAAGGAGTGATTAAGCAGCCACTAAAGAAGAGATGCCTTGTGCACATACAGTCAAAAAAATATTCCTTTCAATCACAAAGCCATGGTCACTGGTATGGACTGGGTTTAAGCAGTAAGAAGCCAAGCCAGGCTCTCTGCTGAGTCTTCTGTCAGTCCAATAGATTTAGCACAAGTCTGGAGAAGTCATGAGAGCACAGGCCAGTCTGGAGAAGTCATGAGATGACACTGACCGTACCCTACCGATAGATACGATTACGCAGTGGAACGTGCGTCCCTCTGTGGCCAGACTTGTGCTGGCATTGCTGTACAGACTGGAAAGATTACTGCAAATTTACAAGATTTTAGATAAAAGCTCTCTTAATATAAACGAAGACAACCTCTCTGCTGAACTCAGTGACTTTCTAGACGTGGTTCAAGCATAGGTGTTTTTTTTCAGACACTTGCTGCAGTAAAGATATAGATGAGGAATTAGTCCCCCCTGGTGGTTCGGATAGACAGACACATGGGGAAACCTCTGTACCCTCTTCTGCTCCTTCCTTATTGCACTTTTATTGTACAAGTCAAGACTATTACAATGCTTAAAAAAATCAGCTAAGGAAGCTACATTTTAAAAGAATCTGGCTGTCCAAATGGGAAGACAGGAGCAATAATTGCTACTGCTATCAGTGCTAAATATCACTGATGATCATGATTATAAAGCCAAAAACCTTGACCATTGTGTCTGGTCAAATTGTCATTAAATCGAAATAACTTAAATAATTTTTAAATCTTTTCACCAAATTCAGTTTTAGATGCTTGTGGTTTTTGATGCTATTCATAGAAGTGACCTCTTGTGATGCTCACTAAAGCCCCAAACTAGTGCACTGTGGTGTGAAGAGTCTGTTCTGTCCCTTTCAAGTCAATATGAAGGTTACATGAGAAGGATATAAAGTTCTACATATTTTAATTTTACTAAAACCTCTTTCTATACTGTAATCTTTTTCTTACATACACTGATCCAAAAGGAAGGTGAAAAGGAGAGAAAGGGAAGTGGAAAGAGCTACACAATAATGTTACTTCACTAAAATTTTGTGACAATTTATTTCAGTGATTTTGAAATCCTTTACAAGAATATTCAGTAGGGACCAACTCTGATATCCAATCAACAGTACATAAAATAAATCCAAGTCTAGAGAATTTAGGACTTTATAACAATGACTTTTAATTTCTCTACATCTGAAATGCTGAAAGTAGAAGTTTATTCCAAGCCTTCTCACTGATTTTTGGTTAAAATCCTTAAACTAATTCACGATACTTTTATCTTCTTTCTTGATACATTTAAAAAGTACTTAACTTACTTGTCATTGCTTTTCAAAATAATCACTTCATATTTGTATTGTTGACTGCAGATGAGTAGTTTTTGACCAGATAAACTCTTATAAGTCACTGAAATCTCCCTCAGGAAAGATTTATAATATATATGATCATAATATCCCATCACAGAAAAATAAATAACAGTGCACCAGTATAGCAGAGGAAAGTACTCCATCTCCAAGTGTTAGTCAGACAGACTTAAAGATTATGTCCTAGTTCTTGGCTTGTCACAAAATGTCACTTTAATGGAAAACTCTTTTAAGATGTTATCCACATTTATTCAATAAGGAAATAGGCAATAATAACTTAGTTTTTCTTGCAGGACTATTTCTGAAAGTTTTGGAAGAAGATCTTTTTGCATCTGGAAGCAGATATGTTTATTCTGATTCCGGCTTTAGGTTGATGCTGAAGGCACTCCAACGTAAGGCATAAGGCATGCATTCACAGAACAAAACCACACTCAACTATCAACATGAAGAATAGAAAACTGTAGACTCTCTTCTCAAATCCTCTCAACCCATCTTTGACAATGTCTATAGTGGAAGGAGAAAGTCATGCCCAAGGATAAAGAAAGGGGTAGAGGTTTCATCTCCTCTACATGCAGCTGATGAAGTGCTTGAGAGAGCCAGGAGAGTCCGCTCCAAGAGCAGTGCACTAGCACATATCCAGTGGTGATTTGGTAGCACTTGAAAAAGAAATCAAGTAGTTGCTGAAAGATAGAAAAAGTGCTGTGCATTATTCTGAATATATTTTTTAAGTGTTGTATGCACTTTGGCTTAGTGGTTTGATTTGAATATATCACATTAAACCACTGGAGACTATTAAAGTGGAGCAAATACATACCAGGTGGTATCCTGTGGAAACAATTATGTTGGAAATAACTCACTGCCTCTTGCCAGTAGGCTTATGGTTTGTGTTTTCCAAGCCAAGTTTAGGATTAAAGCTTATAGTTATACTCTAAAATATTCATTAAACTATTAAAGTTGTCAAAAAGAAGAGAAAGCAGAGGGTGAAGGGAGAAGAAAGGGATGTGTCCTACCTGAGGCTGACAGTAAGCATACCACAGTAACACTGTCCACCCTGGAATTCCAGAAATGGAGACAGCTGGACATATTTTGTGGCTGTTTGCTCTTGTTCTCTGTTATTCCTTGCTTAAAATAGCCGCTTGCTGAGGTCTGTATAGCTCTGGGATAATCTTATTATAGTGGATCCAACTCCTAGCTAGCACACTTGTCCCAGTTCTCAGGCGGGCTGCAGCAAGCTGTGCTGTACGTGGGGGCATGAAGAAATCCATGGTATGAAGCATGAAGAAATTTGTGGTATGACCACAGAACTTCAGAGCAACCAAATTACAGCAGCTTACCAAGTTTCCATCTATTAAGTTATACTGAGCAATTGTAAGAATTCACGTCTGCTCTTAATTTTAACAGCACAAAGAGATTTTCACAAAGTTTCCATCACCTAAATTAGGCCCTCACGGTGCCATGTGAAAATCTACTGATTTTTTTCCTCATCTTTGCCAATGTGATGACTGTGGTTTGTAATAAAGTGAGCTCCAGTCAAATTAGTTACCTTTTAATTTTTCAGAGTGTGATTAGGAGTGTGAAGTACCTCAGAGCTTTAAAGATTTCTCTTTGAAGGATCAAAAAGGGATAATTTTCTCATCAAAATTTTTTACATTTGCAAGAAAAGGATGAGGGTTGTGGGATAATTCAATTTAAAAAATAACTTTAAAGAATGACAAGAAGCTTTGTACTTCATAATTAAGAACAGATAGGGACTAATGAATAATAATGTGGACAAAGCCAAAAACCTAAGAAAAAGGGAGAGGGCTAGCAGCAAGAAAATAGCATGTAGTCAAAGACTGAAAAGAAAAATTTGCATATATCGTGACTGTTTTCCCAGGGAAAAAAAAAATCAGTCATGATTCCACTTCTGTGGAAGATTCTAAGGCTGGAAGGTGATAGGAAACGTGTCTAGGAAAGAGGTTTGAGTTATTTCACACGTTCTTGCTCTTTACACCAGATTAAGTGAAACTGGTACCAGGGCAAGATGCAAGACTCAGCTGCTATAGACAAGTAATTGGTTGGTCCTGGAAAGGCTGCAGGAGCTCGCAGCCTTCCTCATAGGTGTTGTCTTGCAAATAAGACAGTTTGTAAATCAAATATTTCAGAAAACTGGGCTTCCATCAGTATTTCCTTCAATATCTCCACGATGAGCACATTCTCTAGATCTTATAAACTGTTTCTTCCGTATTGTACACAAGTTACCTACACCCAAAGAAATATCAGTGACTTCCAGGGATGAAAATGCTAGTAGATAGTAATACTTCTGCAACAGAGGGCAAAAAGCTGGTGAACAGTCTGGAGCACTGGGGGAGGCTGAGGGAGCTGGGATTGTTAAGTCTGGAGAAGAGGAGGCTCAGGGGGGACCTTATAGCCCTCTACAACTGCCTGAGATGAGGTTGCAGGCAGGTGAAGATTGGTCCCTTCTCCCAAGTCATAAGTGTCAGGACAAGGGGAAACAACCTGAAGGTGCATCAGGGCAGGTTTAGATTAGGCAATATGAAAACTTTCTGCACTGAAAGGGTTGTCAAGCATTGGGCAAGGTTGAGTCACCATCCCTGGAGGTATTAAGCCATGTAGTTGTGGGACTGAGGGACATGGTTTAGTGGTGGAATTGGCTGTGCTGGGTTAATAGTTGGAGTTGATGATTTTAAAGGTCTTTTCCAACATAAATGATTCTATGATTCTGAGTACGCAGCCTAAGTGTAGCAGCAAACAAGGTAGAAGCAGATAGAATATTGTGTATCTTCAGTAAGCTTGGTCTTCTCTTTTCTTAACATAAAAGTACTATTCTATTATTTCCAAGTTGCACTTAGGAAGTATGAAGTATTTTTCTGAGACTGTATAATTTATCTTCTGGCAGAATTCTGGACTTTTTAATATTATTTTAATCATCTGTGTGTCAGAAAGCCACCTACTAGCTTAACTTGCATTTCACTGCCAGAACACAAGCAGAAGAAATAATATTTATCTTCTGTACTTTTTTGAGAAACTTAGCCAGTGGAATGGAGGTATCTTACTACTGCTGCTTAAATCTGAATTGGACAAATCTCAAATTTAACAATTAAAACTTTCTTCAGTCAGAAGATATTACCTAAGGGGCACATAAATACATTTTCGGGGGCTTTCTTTTACCTTCTTCTGCAAACGCTGTTTCCTGTTCTCCCTGTATTTGGCACTAAAAGATGAAGTTGACTTCATCTTTCAATGCAAGCACCAAAAGAAGCGAGTGAATGCATCAGACATGGAAAGAGTACTTTTAATTAGATGCAAAGCATCATTTCCATAACTAGTACAATCAGGTGATCAGAATTGCTTGTTACTGACCTCACAGGTTCCATGTAATTTATGAAAATCTGATTTTTATATTATTGCTACTCGTGAAGTGATACTGGCTTAATGGGGCTCAATCAGGCTTTTACAATTATAGCTGGGTCAACACAAAGAACTGCCTCAAAAATATTGGGATGGGATGATTTGCTTTTTTATCACTCAGCGAGTACATTGAGGGCAATTTCAACAGTCAGAAAAACAACATTCAAAACCAGTGGTTTAATGTCACCCTACAACGTGAAATTGAAATAATAGCATTGGAAGACATTTAGACTTATAAATATATATTTTCAGCTAGAACTTAGGGAACATCTTGAATGATAACTATAATATCTTTCTCTTTGTTTGCAGTACCAGGATACCTTAATTAGTAGCAAACATCAGATTTACTTATTACAAAAGGCACTGCTAACACAAAAGGATTAATTTGAATTGTTAGGGGTTTTTTTATTCAGTAATTTTTAAGTCTCAAAATATTTAGGCCCTTCATTATTTGAAAACAAGTATCTGTCAGTTTATGTGCCTTGGGCTAAAATATTTAAATCCAGCTTCTGCATCTCAGGCATGCAGAACCAGTCTAGTCACACAAAAAGATCTGATCCTCTGTTCAGTTGAACTAGAGGTAGCTTTCTTTGCAGTACTGAAAATCAAAAGGTATGTTTTTTAAAGGCACAAGATCTAAACAGTATTCTACAGGATACTCTATTTTGCTTCCCCACCTTACATAAATGCTGACAGAATCCAATTCAACCACTAGCTGCCAGAATTTTTTTTGAGTCAGTTCAAGCACAGCACCTGTTCTTGATGGGATATTCCCAGAGCAAACCTGATGCCAAGG